CAATTTTCACAATAACAAAGCTTTTACCAGCTAACAGAAGGTACTGCCTACCCTGGGATAGTAAAGAACCAATAGTTCAGGAGGGGTGTGGCAAGGCTCACTTCCAAACAAACAAAGTTACAAGCTCCAGAGCACCCTCCTGCCACCACCAAACACTGGCCTTGGCAAAGTAACAAATTATTACATGCTAAAGACCTTCAAAGTCACTTGGGAATGGTCAAAGTAGAATCTGAATCCCAGAATTTCAAATATTTACAGAATATAAATATGCAAATATATGCCATATACATATATTTTGTGTATGCTTCATGTATAATTTTGTGTTCTACTTTTAAAAGCACATTCTTGTGTGAACTTTCTACCATACCAATAAATAAGGATATTCACTGTAGCCTTGTTTGTAGAAAAAAAATGATGAAAGCAACCTGAATGCCCAGCCATCAGGGAATGGTTGAATATGCTGTGACTTCCTTATTGACTTGTAAGGACTATTGATATTATATTAATATATAAGTTATAACATTACAAATGTATAATGTCTAACACATCTCTTATACGTCTTTTTCCTGTTTTGCTATTTAACTTTGCTTAGAATGAGGTATGATGAAAGAAATGTTAACTTTTGACGCAGTCAAAATTAGGCTCTTTTCCCTATGACTCTTCTCATTTCTTTTGTGCCCATAATGCTCTTCTCCAACCAGAGATCTTATAAAAGAATTTACCTATACGGTCTTTCACAGATACATTTTTCACAGTTAACTCTTTAATCCCACTTGAATTTACTATGCTATAAGGTGTGAGGAGAGGCTCTAATTTGGTCTCTTCCAGCAATCACTAAATAATCCTTTCACCTGCTGATTTGGCATATATCATATAGTAACATTGTAGATGTCTGAAGTCTATTTCTGAAATCCATCTGTTATATTAATCCAGTATTCGGAGATTCTTCAACCAGTACTGTACTGTTTTGAAAAGTTTTATGGTATATTTTAATATCTCAAATTAAAATTTCACCTTTATTATTCTTTTAAAAACAGTATTTGGCTATTCCAGCCTATTTATTATTTTGGCAGGTTCCCCCAAAAAGCTCACTGTATTTTGATTGTAAATAAATTACAAATATGAATTGAGGAAAATTTGTATATATCATACATATGTAGATGTGTTTGTATATATCCAATATTCTTCCCATTATGACATAAAATTGCAATCTATAAGATCAAAGAACAAAGTATCTAAAAATGAAGAATTAAAATAATTCTAATCAAGCAGCAAAGTGATTAGCAGTAAAGCAGGCTGGCAGTGCAAAAGACCATCTACCAACGTGTACCAAGAGGTTGAGATTCCCCTAAAAGAAACCTCTAAGGCCCTTGGGACGCTTGTGATACACTGGGTTGTAAAAATAAATCCCAGCTGGAGGCTTACAGGTGCGCCACTGATAGAGAAGGCACAGTCTCACTACAAGAAGGGAATCAGACAAGTTAACCAAGGGATTTAGGAAGGTCATCCTGGAAGTGGCAACCAGGTCCTAGTGTCCATGTCTAGACAGTAATTTAAAAACATAACTCTATCTCAGTCCAAGTTTTAGAGACTGCAACTTCAATCCACCCAAATGGTAAAACTGCTCCTCTCAACTGCATAGGTGACTTTGCAAGTCTGACAAGGTATAGAAAGAGGACTAGAGGATAAAGTCAATCAACCCTTCGGTATATTAACACTTAGAAGTTAGATTTTGGTATGTTTCATCATAATGTGCTGCTGTTACTAAGCTGTTTGAAACATTTAAGACAATCCAATATATTAAAGAATGACATGTTAGACTTACAATTTTAATCCGAAATGCTTAAGAAAATGTAATTAAGTTTCAAAGTGTTTGCATTTTTTAAAAGAACCTTACGTTTACACATTTATTAGACTTACAAGGGTTGCTTAAGTCCTTGGAAAGATTTTACTATTAGGTTTATAAATTCACCTCTTTAGAAGTTTGAAATATTTGAGAGAATCAAAAACAAAGCTTTTACTACAGTTTAAAACATTTAAGAAACTTTAATTTGCTTTGTAAAAAGAATTAAGGGAATTTAATATGTTAAACTGGGCCTTAATTTGTCAAAGTTCAAGTATTTGTGTTTTTATATAAACATTCTTAGATTTTTAAATAAAACAAGATTTGTGAGTAAAACTTATAAGACTTAAAAATAGCTAAGTATTTAATTCTGGGTGTTTGTTTTTGTTTTTTTTTTTTTGAGACAGAGTCTTGCTCTATAGCTGGGGCTACACTGCCATGGCGTCAGCCTAGTTCACAGCAATCTCAAACTCCTGGGCTCAAGCGATCCTCCTGCCTCAGCCTCCCAAGTTGGTGCGGCTACAGGCGTGCACCACCACATCCAGCTAATTTTTTCTATTTTTAGTAGAGACAGGGGTCTCACTCTTGCTCAGGCTGGTCTCCAACTCCTGAGCTCAAGAGATCCTCCCGTCTCAGCCTCCCAGAGTGCTAGGATTACAAGCGTGAGCCACCGCGCCCGGCCATAGCTAAGTATTTAGAAACTTAACATTAATGAGTTGCACGTTATTCACCACACCCGGCCATAGCTCAGTATTTAAAAACTCAACATTAATGAGTTGCACGTTATTCTAAGTATAGCATTCTATACACAGAAACATTCCTCTTAAACCTCAACTGATGTCACTGAGAAAATGCTAGCCTCCTTTGTATTTCAGGTTATTACCAGAATTGTATATTTTGTTACTGTAAATACATCCTTTTAACCATTATATTTTCAAACTGGTTATTGGTGAAACAGAAAAACTAAATTATGTGTGAGTTTGTAATTGGTCCCTTTACTGAAGTCTTTCCTTTTTTCTTCAAAGAGAGTAGAGAGAGCCACTTTACTGAATTCTTACATATTAATGGTTTTCTCTTTTTTCCCCCAAAATAGGCAGTCCTATCATCCACAGGAATGAGAATTTTCTCTCCCTTTTTCTGAAAAATTATATTTGTTTTTGTTTCATGTCTTATTGCATTGGCTAGAACTTCCAAGACAATATTAAACAATATATTCTTTGCCATGTTCCTGACTTTAATAGGAATGCCTCTAGGTTCAGTGCAATGGTGATTTAAGAGTCATTTTTTGTTAAGTTATTAAAATATCCTCCAATTCCTTAACAATTCAGAATTTTTAAATTAGTAACATGTCTAATTTTATTATTTCTCATAGCCTTAAATACACTTTAAAAATCAGTTTGTCTTAAAAACGCAAACACGGAGGAAATTACAGTCCCTGTAGCTAATTCATGGTACTTCAGGGAAAACGGTCTCCAAAGAAAACCCAGGCTGCGGACAACCCAGTACGCTTAAAAACAAAAACGTACGACCCAATGCCTCCAGGAAATGCGTGTGGACCCGCCACCTTTTCAAGCAAGCGGTGACTCTTCAACCTTTGACTTAGACACGTTGGAGTCTGTAACTTGGATTGAGATTTTTTTTTTGTAAAATTTTGTTTCTACCTGGTCTACTGAAGTTAGGGCACTGGCTGTGCTCAGCTGCAGTTAGTTCCCAGTTAATGGTTCCGTTTTAAGGTGCCGAAAGTATGCTTGGCATCTGTCTTCCTGTTGTCACAACTTCTTCTAAAGTGAAAACCGCAGCAAGGCTAACGAAAGAACCCTGTCCCGACGACACGCACCTTTGTCCCGAGCGCCGACGCGGGCCGCAGACGTCCCCTCGCGGCGGTCCTCATGCCGACCCGGGATCCCGGGCTGCGGCACAGCTAGCGGCCAGCTCCCGAGCCATGCCTCCGGGCGGGCGACCGGCCCGTGCCGCGGCCCATGGCCCGGGGGAGCCTCGTCAGCCGCGCCGCGCGCCGGACCAAGAGAAAGCGGAGAAATGCCAACTCGGCGTCCGCGAAGCAACTCGGAGCACAACGGCGGAGCGGCCACCGAGCGCCCTGGGAGAACTTGCCGCGCGGGACCCGACGATCGGACGCTGCCTCCGAAAGCTGGCCGTCGAGAAGAGCTCTCCAAAGGACCCAGGCGGCGGGACGGACGAGCGTAGACACCCGGGCCTCCCAGGAGGCAAGCGGCCGAGCAGAGCCCCCCGGGCGCGGGGCCCCAGGCTCGGGCGGACGCTGGCTTCCAGGCCGCGCCGAGGTCCGTCCGGGCAGCTGCCGGGCGCAGCGACGGGGCCAGCCGGCGCCTCGAGCTCGGGAATGGCCCCGGGGCCCGCGCCGGACCAACGGCCGTAACGGAAGCGCCGAGGGGGTGGGGGACTGAGTCCAGGGCCCGGGAGCGGGACGGGCCGCAAGGCCGGCTCCCTCTGGCGCCCGGCTGGCCACACCGTCGCCGCCGCCGCCTCAGACCGCGGGCGCTTCGTTGTCACGAGCCGGAGGGAGGAGGAAGGAGCCGGGAATCTCAGCGCTCCGGCGCGCGGAGAGCGCGGCTCCCGCGTCACGTGCCGCTCAGCCGGCCAATGAGCTCAGTCGAGCGCGGTGACGTCACAGCAGCAGCGTGGCCGATGACAGCCGGCCCCCGTCACGTGGCCGGGCGCACTCCAATGGGCGGTGCCGGAGCGACCTGATGTTCCCGGCGGCCCGTGCGTCGGCGGTGGTTGGGTGGTAAGATGGCGGCTGTGAGTCTGCGGCTCGGCGACTTGGTGTGGTGAGTCCAGGCGGCCGGGCTAACAGAAACGCCCCAGGAAGCTGCCCCGCTGGGCGCGGGGCTCGCGGGCAGCCCCGGAGCTGTCTCTATGCGCTCCAGGCCGTGGAATGAGGGGAACACAAGGTGCCGGCTCTTGCGAGCGACGCCGGGCGGAAGGGGCAGTCCAGCCCCGGGGGACTGAGGCCGAGGGTGGCCACGGCGGGCCCGGGCTATGAGGCCGCCCGAGGGAGGGCTGCACTCGGGCCTCAGACACCGGTGGCCCCTGCGAAGCGAGCCCCCGGTGCTGCCCGGCTTCCGCGGACGCCAGGTCCCGGGGTCTTGCTGGGGCTTCCCAGAAAGCAGGAGAGCCGGGGAACTCGCGGAGCCATCTCGCTATGGCGAGTCCGTCAAAACCTTCGTAAACGATGGAACCGACCTGTGCGGGCGGCTCGGCCGGGGTTGTACAAACCAGACTGCTGGCGCTGCCCCGTGAAGAAACGGAGAGGGGACTTCTCCTTTGCAACTGATGGCTTGGCAGTGACCAGTGCTGCCTTGGGTGCCTCTCGTGGTCTGCTTCTGTGTCCCAGACAACCACTGGAACCAAGACTGACTGTCGCCGCCTCCTTCAAGCTGCGTAGCTTGTTTCTCCTCCCAGAGGGAGGCTTGTATTAGCATTTATCAAAGCCGTGCTGGTCTCCTGTTGAATTATACCAGACTTAGTAAGGAGAAGTCTGTGTTTACAGAGAAACTCCCCGCCCCCGTCATTGCAAAGCTTTTTAGACAAGTGACTCTTGACCATTTTGTTGTTCTGTATTCCTTGTCAACAGAAGAATGCACATAAGTTATGCACTTACGTATACGTTTCAAGAAATGGAAATGCATTCTATTTCTTAGGGTCTCAGGCCCAGCTGTGGAAACCAGATTAAGAACTGTTTGCCGGCTTTTGTTCTGGCACTTGAGGGTGCCAGAAGAGATTTAGGAAAATAAATTGTGTATTGAGTGGGTTGAAGGCGATGGACTGACTTTTCCAGGGCAAGTGGTGACTCTCTGTGTTTTCTCTAGGGGGAAACTCGGCCGGTATCCTCCTTGGCCAGGAAAGGTGAGTGTCTTGCTACTAAAGGAAGCTATCTGAAGTTGAGTTTGAGGAGGTGGGGAATATGACATGCATTCCCCTCGATTTCTAATACTGAGTTAACCTGGGCCCGTAGAATTTTATTTTCTCTAATGTCAGTTATTTTAGAAAAGATAATACACTACAAACCAGATCTTTAATCTGCAGTTAATCCTTATTTCTTGTATCAGAGGTTTGCCATTTTTTAACACCAGAAATCAATTCTAAGTTGAATTTGGCTTTATGCTTAAATCTAACAAAAGGAGAAACAAATTAATTCTCCAGGAAGAGAGAAATCTAAATGTAGGTTAGTGAAAAGCCAAAGTATTTTTGTCCCAACTAAGTTTAACTCTTTTTTCCATGTTACCATATGTGCTGCTCCAGTGCATCTTTGCAGAAGTTGGCATTCCAGATTTTGCATGAGGTGAAAGCTACCATAGCTTTCCAAATGTTCTGTTTTTATATTGCTAGGAGCCCAGGAAATGTCTTTACACTATTTGCAATATGGTATTTTCCGTGCTCAGTTGTCCTTTATTTTCGCTGTTACCTGTCTCAACTCTTCCTGAACAAGAAGTATTTCAAAGTGTGCTCTACATTTCTTCAGTAATGACAGGGTCACACTGTAGAAGAAATGATGTTGATCTTAGTTTTAACTGTTGTAAAACAGGGCCATTGCAGTAAAAGGGATATTGTGTCTTCTGAGTACCATGCTACTTGTTAAATATAGGGAACTTCTAGAATATTTGCACGTTTCCACACATCTCAGTAGAAAAGTGCTAGATTTGGACAAGTGCTAGGTCCTGGGTCCTTTTTTGTACATAATTCTTTTGTTTCATTTTTTTCTTACCAACTTAGAGCTATGGAAAATTACTTTCTAGTAGGCTGCAGTATTGCCATCAAACCTTTTTTTTCACCCCCTTTTATTCTCCAGATTGTTAATCCACCTAAGGACTTGAAGAAACCACGTGGAAAGAAATGCTTCTTTGTGAAATTTTTCGGAACAGAAGATCAGTGAGTAGTACTCACCAAGAGTTTCACTTTGCCTTTGGGTGTTACCCCCCGAGTCTGAGCTGCTCTGAGAATATTCTAGGGAGCCTCAGTTCAGTTATCTTGTAGTGTATAAGAACAGCATATCATTCTGGTTCCTTACCTAAATAAAGGTGCAGTTTCTTTCAAAAGTTGTCCTGGGCAACTGTCCTAGGGCCTGTATCAGTCAGGTAAGAACTAGAGTTCATTACCTTCTAAACATAATAATCACATTGAGATAGTTTCTTTTCTTTACCCAATTCCGTAGGCAGTTCCTTTTTAAAGAGCCATGTTTGATTCTCTTTTAATGCTGTATGTCATGGTTTATTCATGAGATGTACAGTGAAAACTAAAATTTTAATTATCTTAATAAAAGTTATTTAATTCTGTCCTCTTTTGTAAAACTAGATGATTTGCCTCTAATAGAGCTAGTAATACTAGAGCTTTATTACCAGATCTGTCCTAAAGTTGAGGAAGCTAGTACCATTAATCACAAGTGTTTTTGACCTGGCATAAGGCCATATAAGAAGTCATACTGAGGGGAAGAATGTGTGTGTTAACCTGCGTTTCTGGCGATTTGTTTAGCTTTTTCATCAAGTTGATTACCTAGGTCTAGCTAGATTGGTTTCTTCAAGTAGTTGTATTTCTAGTTATGATTCTTGTAGGCAAATGTAGCTTTAGGTTTGAAAAAATGTCTGACTTTTCTGGTAAATATAGTACTGATAGTTAAAATATTTGTTTTTAGAAGGCAATGTATTATACGCAGTGTTGTTCATCCATTCAGGAGTTCATACATCAGAGTGCTCTTCCTGGTTTAGTGTTCGCATGGCATGTCTGCCTTCACAATCCAAATACACCCAGCCACAATTCTCTATCACAGGCCAACTTAGCAGCCCTATGGTGGCAATATCTCAGGGGAGTCACTGGCCTGGAGTTTTGAGAGCCAGAGCACCTGGAAGAGGGGATGTTCTTATAATGCCATGGATTCGGTGAGGAAGATTGCCCTGGTGCATAAAACAAGTATTGATTGCGTGTCCACATCCTGCGTTGCCTCACACTGAAAGGAACTCCCAGGAAAGTGGATGTTGTGGTCCTTGCCTTCCAGGTGCTAAGTTAACTGACAAGATGTAAACATTTGGGATTATGTGTGGAATGAATGATGTAGGTAATTATTAAAGAATTCTAGAAGAGGAAGCAGCCAGTGGAGAACAGTGAGGTCCAAGAAGGCTAATGGAAGAGATGGGATTTGCGTCCAGCTCTGGATTCAAGTAGAGTAGAATTTGGATGGGCAGGAACAATAAGGGCATTCCAGGCATGAGGATACCGTGAGCAGCTGGGCATTCAGCTCCGTGTGTCATGGGAAGAGAGGGGCTCCCTAGCTGGGGTAACTTGTGCTTGGGAATAACAGAGGCAATATGGTTGGCCCAAAGTTGGTTGGCTAGATGAAGAATTACACAACTCTGAAACAAAAATGGGAACTCTGGTTACTGTGGGCCTGAAAGCCATTGTCTCCTTATCATTTTACTTTAAATGCTGAAAGGCTAGATGAATAAACTGTCATCCTTGTGTATAAGTACTAGAAATAGGACACAGAAAATTGGAGTGAGTGAATTTCAGTGCTCAACCCAGGCAAACAAGTGAAACTAATGATGATATGCTGACTGAACACAAAAATAACCTAACGGTGGTGGTGGTGGTGATGATAAGATTTCTAACTGACTGACTAAAGTTCTTTAAGGGATTATAAGCAAGTGGATGCAGGGCAACTGCTAGATAGAATATCTTTAACCTTTTAAACTCACTTGATGGAGTTCCATATGAAAAACTATTTAAAAATTAAGTCACTATGGGACTGATATGTTGTCTTTTTGTGGGTAGGCAGTTAACTTAGAGAAAGGAAACAAAGGGTCGGGATCTGTAGCAGTTCTCTAAAGGAGGAACACTTCCTTAGTGATTAGGGCTAAGGCAGATTTTATTTAGTATCTTTCTGTTACCTAAAGTAAGGTCTCCAGATTGGCTGGTGGCAGCAGATTACTTCAAGGAAAGACTTCTGGATTGATTACTGGCCTAATGTGCATCAGATACTGGCTCTACCTGCTCTATGATCTGGGCAAGCTGTTTCACCTTTCTAAGCCCCTGTGTCCTCCTCCACATATAGGGATAATACCCCTACCTCATAGTTATGAAGGAAAAGTAGCATAACTGATGTAGAATGTGGTTTGGCATATAGCACATGTTCAACAAACATGTGGTCAAGGTGTAGATGTTATAAGAGAGGGAAAGAGCTGGTAAGAAGCAGGTGCCTTTAAGAAAAGGAAACTCGAGAAACAGATATAGACTCTACCCATGAAAGGGAGAGCAAGTGTGTGTGCTTGTGTTTGAAAAGAAAGAAATCGAGAGTTGGAGATTGCCAAGGATGTCAGCCAGGTATGCTCTTTTTACCAAAAGGGCTTTGAACACAAAGCAATAAATTGTTTCACCTTTTTTTTTTTTAAGATACAGGGGTCTCTGTTGCCCAGGCTAGAGTGCAGTGGCATGATGATAGCTCACTACAGCCTCAAACTCCTGGGCTCAAGTGATCCTCCTGCCTCAGCCTCTATGCCTGGCTAGTTTTTTATTTTATTTTTTTTTTAAGAGATGGGGTCTCACTACATTGTCCAGGCTGTTCTTCAACTCCTGGCCTCAAGTGATCCTCCCTCCTCAGCCTCCTAAATTGTTAGGATTACAGGCATTACAGGATTACAGTGTGCCCAGTTCATTCCACCTTTATGTAAAACTGTACTGTGCCTTACCAGGAATACTGTGAGCAGTTCAGTTCATGCCATCAAAGAGATCCAACAGAGCTAGTCAAGATTCACAAAAGGGAACCAACTCAGACAGAAGAGTAGGACTCTTTAATATCGGAAAGCAAATACCAAAAAAAGAGCACAATCTGAACTTATGAAACAGTGAATGGCCTTAAGGAGTTCGATGGGTGTTGTGTGACCGTGTTGAGGACAAACACAAGGAGCACTATGTGAAATGGGCATTCCAGAGGTGATGGAGACAGGGACTGCAAGTGGGTGTTCAGGGGTGAGAACTAATTTGTGAAGGGCAAGGCCATAAGTGGCTGCAGTAGAATCCAGACTCTGCCTCATCTTAACACTTGACGTCTTAACACATGGTGGGGGATGGGTGGTCCTGACACATCCTAGGGTGCGGGCTCTGTTGGTTGCTGGGCCCTGACCTGGGTGGGTAGGTCTGACCCAGTGGGGCTATTCCTGTACTCCTGAGGAATATAGAATTTGCTCAGAGATGTTCAATTTCAAAACTGACACACTTAGGGAAAATATACATAGTTATGATTTTTTTCTATTAGCAAGACCTTTATTAAAGAGTAAAAAGGATAACTCCCTATGACAAGATAAATGGTGAGTCTAACCTTTTAGAAACCTAATTTTTGTCTCTCCCTTCCTCTGCCAAAATATCTAACAAATTGTGTTGACATCCCACTGTTAGGAAGAGAGGGCCAAACCTTCCTAATCAGGCATCTCTGGTGAGAGAAGGACTTAATAAGATGGCTGCATTCAGCTCTCCAAGCCAGATAGCCAAGACAGAATTGCCCACAATTGTGTTAAGAACTATTTTCATGGAGTTACAAGGGGAAAAATAACTTCAGCATAACTTTGCTGGCTCCACCAGGTGACCACACCAAAGATTAGGTATCGAGTGTGTGAGGGTTCACCTTGGGCAGGTCTGATCAGTGGTGGTTGCCCATCAGAGTAGAGACAGAGCTTAGGGTGTAGAAGTTTCATCAGTGGCTGTGGATGGCAGAATGGAGGGAATATTCATTTAGTTTGCAGGTGCTCAGAAGCCAACAGAAACAGACCAATCTGGAGAATACTGTGGGCAAACAATGGGTAGATTGCAAAGGACTACCTAAGAGTTTCCATAGCATCTTCACATCTGACCCTCACAGCAGCCCTTTCAGAAAATGGATAGGTTCATCCTGGTTCTTATTTTTCACAAAAGAAGAAACTGAGAGGCCAGGGGTCTATGGACTTAAGTGATAAGATGTCCAGGATCCCAGCTTGAGGTACTTTTTACATCAAGCCAATGTAAGGTGGGACAGGTCTGGTTGGGTGTGAGGTGTCTGAGTCAGTACTAAAAGTAACTGTTCTAGAAAAATCAACCGTGGTTGATAATTAGAAGCCTAGCAGTTTGGAACCCCGGGAGTATCCCTTTTTCTTTTCACCTGGCACCTGACTGACCCACTTTCCTACATTCAGTGCTGTGTAATAGTTAGAGAGTCGAGCCAAGTGCACGGTGAGGGCCACTGTTGGGATGTTTGCCTGAGACAACAGTGTCCCTGTGCCAGGGCTGGGCTGTAGCCTTCCTAGAGAGCTTGGAGCAGATGCTCCACTCCCAGCAGCAGCTCCTGTCCTACGGGAGACTCCCTCTGTGGCTGCTGCGGTAGCAGACGTCGCGCAACAGAATTGTGGAATCCGGCCCCCGAAGAGTGGCTGGCCGTGTTGACATAGGCAGCACAGCCTGAAAGCCTCATCCAGCATGTGGGGATGTTTTTAAGTTTTGGAAACAAAATCTTCTAGATCTGTCTTATCTACAAGTCTTTGTTGATGTCTGTAAGATAATGGTTGCTTAAAATTAACTGAGAAGTTCTTCATTATTTTCTTTGTGTTTTTTTCCTGGTGCCTTTATTTATGAGGAGCTTAAACTTGGACCTGTAACACCTCAGTAATCTTCAGCCTCTTTTGATGTTTTTTTTAAAAAAGGCAGGCATAGAAATTGTTTACTAAGTACTCCTCACCAAATCGAGATGGAGAAGCAAACCCACATCTTCTGACCCTCTGTTCCGCCTTTGGACTCTGCTTCTGTGTGTTCTCATTCTCCCTCTCCCCCATCCCCTCCCCCGCCCCTCCCTCTTTCCCTCTCCCCCCTCCCTTTCTCCCTCTCCCTTTCCCTCTGCCTCCCTCTTTCCCTCTCCTTCAAAGCTTCAGCCCAGATCACTATGTCTGTGCAAAAGGCTAAGCCACCTATGCAAGAATATTTTGAGATTATTCATAGACTGACATCTTTAATATGATATCTACATGTATGATTTTCATTTAAGGGGAAAGCAGATTAGAAGTTTGAAAGTTTTTGAAAATGCAGGGTTTTTAATTCATTTTGAGTGAAGTAATCCAAGAGTGGTTTAGTGGCAGTTCTGTGTTTGCAAATGAAGAGACTTTGTAGGAAGTGTATCTAGACACCTGGGTAAGCTTGCTGCTCTTGGCTGTTTTACAGGTGCAGTTACATCAGCAGCCAGGCAGGAGCTGCCCCCCAGAGCAAACTTGCAAACCAGGAAGTCATCGGGGGAAACCCTCTGGCAGTTGGCATAGTCCATGTTCTATGGCAGAAGCCTTTTTAGTATTGCTTCGTTGGGGGTTTTTTTTGTTGTTTTTTTAAGATAATACAGGTTCATGGTTTCTCTCCCACCCCCCACCAAAAAATCGAGCTATAATCAGTGAGATTTTATTCATCCCCATCCCTTAGCCACTCAGTTATGCTAGTTTCTTATGATGAGTCCTTCCAGAGGCAGCAGTGCATAGTCAGGAAGTTACATACTCCCTTTTCCTTGTCCTTGCACGAGTGCTAGCACACTGCACACTCTGCCCCTCCTCTTGGTTTCCACTCAGCCAAATATATCTTGTGGGACCTTCCATTTCCTTTGTGATGACCTCGGTGATTGCCACTTAGCTTGTTTTCATGCATTTACTACCATAAACAATGTGTAGTTAACTCCCTCGTACATAAAAGCAAAGCCTTGTACTTTAAACACGAGTAAGTTTGATTTCTCTGACTTCCCAGGCCACAGCAAATTGGGCTGAAAAGGCACAGCTCTATCTGGGCCTTGGGAGGGTGGTATGAGGAAAGCCACAAGTTACAGCTTATATCAAGGAAAGAGGAGAACAGTCACTTTAAAAACCAACAATAACAACAACCGCAAAACAAACACCAAAGCCTTACAAAACGGAGCATTCTTTTAACCCGCTGGTCAGCAGTCCAGCCCCGCTGAACTTGCCTGGAAGGCATCTTTTACCCAGTGGTTATTTATTGATCACCAGTTGCATGCCTGGCCTGGCTGATGTGCCTCAGCATTATTGAAGCTCCAGCTGAAAAGCATACCCTTTTAAGAAGACAGAGGGTTTTCAGTACAGCCTTTGGAGAAAACAGTTTATTCAGATGGCCAAAGTGATTTAAGTTTGGTTTGCTTTCAAGACGTAATCCTCCTCAGGCTCTGGTGAGCTGTTTTTTTATTGACTGTTTTTCTGATGTAACAGAATGCTTCTCTGACAATAAGCTGATCTCTTAAATAGATTAACATTTCTTGCATTTACCATCTTAAAGTCCTATTTATACTGACACTTCATTTACAGACCATTTGAACATTTCAAAAATTTCATTTTTGTATCTCAAATGCTGCCTGTCTTTAGAGTGAGTGAAGTTTTGACTGGATTGTTCCTTCTAGCAGAAATCAGCAATCTATTTAAAATGCTTCAACCAAAAAATCGGTGTTGATTTCTTGGGCTTCTTCCGCAGATATCCTTGCCTTTTCATTCACTCTGGATCAGGGTTAATGTGAGACTGGGGGTGGGAGGCAGGCATGGCCACAGCAGGTTCGGGGGCAGGGTGGGATTAGTGATTAGCGGAGTTAGTTGTCCCATCTCAAGGGGCTCCATAAAAACCTCCCCGTTGGTCTTATACTGGGAATTTATGCGAGTCTCAGCTTCTGACCTGAAGATGCTAGAAGGAAGAGGCCAGTCCTAAGTGTCATGGCTCTTTAAGCTACATCCCCAACACTGTGGTCTCATAGCCACCAGTTACATGGCAGCTTCACCAGCTTAGCGGGCTGGGCTGGCTTTGTCTCTGATTGCTCTGGTCTGTCCTTAGAGTCCCTGTAAATGCGAGGAGGGGCAGGGGAATCAGTTCACTGATACGCTTGCTAGAACACATGGAGTTGAAATTTCATTCCACTTTTCTTCCCTATAGATGGACTCATTGGCTCTTTCATGTTGAATTTCTTACTTTTAAGATGAGCTGGTCTCTGGAAAGGTATCTGTTTAACTCCCCTGGTTGGAGCCCTGTGCCAGAGAGACCAGCTCCTGTGCCCCACCCCCCATTCATCATTACCTTTAGCCATGGATGCCATGCCTGATCCTGGTTTGCTGCCTGGCATTTGTGGGCTGAGGGTCCCCGGGCTGTCCTGTTTGTTCAGACCCATCATCATACTGCTAGTGCAACACTCAAAGTATAGGTAACCTATAGTAGTTTGGTAGCATTATTCTTATGTACAAAGGTTAGCACTTTGTCTTGTTATATAAGAAAATATTCTCTAGCTTTCTCTAAAGGAAACAACCTTAAGTTAGTGAGATAGCTCAGTTCCTATATCCTTAACCTGACCCACTTTTTGTAAAGTTCATACTATGAAACCTGTGAGTATCACAGGGTAAAACATGTACATTAACTGATAACTTTCCAAGCCTATAGAATTCTCTTTTATACTTGGATTCTGTAAGCTGAATGTCATTTGGGGAAGCCACAGAAAGCCAGCTGCATCAGATTCATTTAGGTTGGTATGATGGGCCAGATAGTCCAAAACTGACGACTGGCTGCTTTGTCATTTTCATGTGTTACACTTTGATGATGGTAGAAGTTAAAAATTAAATATTAGAGGAGTATGTTCTTCTACCTTTAATCTCAAGAAGAATCTTGTTTTCAAAGGCTTCCTTATGTGACTGCTGCCCTCATTCCAAACCGTGTGTTCCATGTTTTGTGTGGTTTGGTAGCCATGGTTACCATCATTTATGAACAAATATAGGCTCAGTGGCTGCAAATATCTGTAAGAGCAGCAAATTTTAGAAGATGTTGCATTTCTTTAGTCCTAGTAACATCCCTGACTCTTGGTTGATTGACAGATCATAAATCTAATTCAAATCGTTTACAGACTACAGGTGTTTGCTCACACAGTAATGCTGCCGTCATTTATAATGCTTCCAGGTGCCCCGGTTCCCAGGGATCTGCGTGTGGCCGTTTGTGCCCTGTGGTCAGAATGGGAGAGTCTGTCCAGATTTCTTTTACCCTCAGCATGTGGCAGGGTGCGTGTGGTTGGGCACTGGAGGCTGGTGAGCCAGAGTGGAAATAAATAGCCTACAGCGCAGTGATTTCACTTGAGGAATGTTCTGATTCGTGGAGGTGGTTGTTCTGCCTGACTTGTTTCAAGAAAATATTCTTTAGGCTCAAGAGTTTGGGGTGGTTGTTAGCATGTTTTGAAAAATGTCAGGCCTCTTGCAAAGTCCAGTTACACCAAATGGATATTTGCGGTCTACTCTGATGAGGTCTTTGATACCTTGTGGCATATGGGAAGTGGATCATACCCTGTCTGTGTTTGTTTTCTGCTAGTGCCTGGATCAAAGTGGAGCAGCTAAAGCCGTATCATGCTCACAAAGAGGAAATGATAAAGATTAACAAGGGCAAACGATTCCAGCAAGCTGTGGATGCCGTGGAAGAGTTCCTCAGGAGAGCTAAAGGGAAAGACCAGGTGAGAGACTGCAGTTTTCAATTTGTGCCAACACCAAACCGATTATTTTTTGCCTAGTAACTAACAGATTAAATGTCACCCAAACCCAAAACTCTATTATGAGATGCCAATGGGGAGAGCTACTTCAATTCTAAGGTATCAGTGTTTTTGCTAATCAGCTTGAAGCTCCGTGCATGCGGCTAACCTTGCTGGAGTAGGTTGTTGCTTTTAGGAAGGTTGCTTGGACCCAGGAGAAGTATCTCTGCTTTTGAGTACAGCACAGGCCGTTTCTCCCTAAGCACAGAGATTAGGAGCACCGCCTCTGGGACATAGACACTGCCTGGGTTTAAATCCCATCTCCTAGCTCAGGGACCCTGGACAAATACTTTTTTTTTTAATCTGCTTCCCCAAATGTCAGTAGGGACAACAGCAGAACCTATTTCATAGAGTTATTGTGAGGATAATACTCACAGAGTACCCGTGGCAGTGTGCAGGGCACATACATGGTGGTGTGCTGGCAGCAGCAGCTGTTGTGGTGGTTATCATTATTATTATTAAACTTTCAGACATCATCCCACAATTCTGCTGATGACAAGAATCGGCGTAATTCCAGTGAGGAGAGAAGTAGGCCAAACTCAGGTGATGAGAAGCGCAAGCTTAGCCTGTCTGAAGGGAAGGTGAAGAAGAACGTGGGAGAAGGAAAGAAGAGGGTGTCTTCAGGCTCTTCAGAGAGAGGCTCCAAATCCCCTCTGAAAAGAGCCCAAGAGCAGAGTCCCCGGAAGCGGGGTCGGCCCCCAAAGGATGAGAAGGTTTGTTTTATCTCTGCAGCTTCCGGGATTAGTGACTCCCTTTTGTGTAAGATAGAGTTGAGCTCTACAGTATGCTTCCACCTGTGGAGTAGGAGTAGAGTCCTGTGCCAAGTGCTGTCTTAAAGAATCCTGCAGACCAGGTGAGAGACGCGACCTAGGTGCACGGGTGTGAAGTGGGAGTGTGAGGCAGGAGAGTGATCTGCCTGAGCCATCGTGCAGTGGCTGACCCTGGAAAGGGCTTAGCCAGAGAGAAGGGAAGACATTCTGGAGATGGAGGGCAGGGCTCACGCGAGGCTTGGTGTCAGCATGGATGTTCTCAGTACAAATGGAGGACAGTGGGGAGAATAGAGAGAGAAAGGCAGCTCGTCCCTGGATTGTGGAGGGCCTTGAGGTCTACTTAAGCAGTGTGGTACCGTCCAGGAGTCTGGGGGCCCAGGAAGGGATTCGAGATGGGTGTCAAGGTGGCAGTGTGCTCCAGTCTGCCTCAGTCGTCACGGAGTGCAGAGGAGAGAGGAAAGCCAGGTGTCCATTCATAAGGAGTGATAGCGAATATCAAAGGGAAATAGGTGAGAGGATCTTCAAAGGAGGAGTTCTGAAGTTTCGCAACTGATTATATAGAGGATGAGTGAGAATAAGGAAAAGATGATTTGAAACTTCATTCTGGAAAAACAGCGATCACGTTCTTAAAAGTAGAGGAGTGGGGAAGTGGAGCTGTCTGACGGGGAACGAGACCTGGTTCTGCTTTGAGTTTGAAGCTCTTGAGGCGAGGCCCAGACAGACCTCAGAGCTGGAGATGGAGCTTTGGGAGACAAGTGTGTAGAAGCGGTGCCTGAATCCTTGAGACAAGGCGGAATTTATCTCGGGAAAGGGAGGAGGGAAAAGAGTGAGGGGCAGAAGCCTGCCGTGCAGAGAACCACAGGCGGCGGGGGAAGGAGTCAGGAGAGCTGGCGAGACGAAATGAAGTGGAAATGGTGCATCTCTCGACTCCTTGCTGACAAGATTTGGGACCAGTCTTAAAAGCCCACGGAGAGAATTTCAAGATGAGGGACTGGTCTAGTTGGGAACACAGGGGAGGATTGTCAGTAGCAGGCTAAAGGGAACAGAAGCCAGATGGCCGGCGGAAACAGGTGGGTGATGAGCCCGTGATGAAACACTAGACATCAGATCAGGGCTCAAAATGCAGACGCCTGCAAGGCCAGGCAGGTAACGCAAGCAGGTGAGCTGATGGGATGTGAGAAGCAGCAGCTGAGGTGTGAGGCACCGCAGCCTCACCCGCCTCCATGCTAAGAGCAGGAAGGCTGCCGAGTTGGGGATCCGCGGGTCATGCTCTGTCTACAGAGTTCCAGCCAGTTGTTGTCAGAGTGGTTTTTCTTAAGAGAAGCTAGAAATGCAAGCTTTTATGTGAAATGTCCCAATTTTAAGTGTTAGAAGCTAATTCAAATTTTAAAAACACTTAATGGGTCCAAAGGGACATCTCTCTGGGCCAGATTCAGCCTGTGGGCTGCCAGCGTGTGGCCTCTGGAATAGAGGAGGAAGGTCCTCTCACTGTGCAGTGACCTAAGACTAAGGGAGGAGACGAGAACAATTGTGGTAGTGACTTTCCTAGATGACCAGGAGCCCAGAGCAGAGGTTTAGAAAAACTGCCAGCTGAGTGCACAGAGAACTTTGTGGTCCAGTTCTGTCCTCAAAAAATGTAATATGACCTTTGAATTTATCTCCTGGGATCCAAAGGGAATCTGGGCTGTCAGGTTTTATAGTATTTCCCGAATCCACATTGCCTGGTATCTGAAGCCATGCATCTATCCCGTTCCTGTGTCACCCTGGAGAGAAATAGCTTCTTTTTGAATAAAGGGAAGTACAAAGGAGAGGTTAGGATGAAGGTCCTGAGTTTGAATTGCAATTATGTGACCTTGGCCTCAGTTTCCTAATCTGATCCTTAGAAATAATGAGTAAACATGCCTCAGAGGGCCATTGTGAGAATTTGATCAGTGTCCTTACATTCCTTTCACAAGCAACAGCCATTTGTGCTGTAAGAGCCTAGAGGTCGTTTTAGTGCAGCCCCAGGAGCTGCTGCCTACCAACTAGAGACTCACAAGGTCCCAATAAAAAGCAGTTTGCGCTTGAGTTTGAATTGTTGTTGAATTGGGGAGGTAGTAACCTCGGAGATATTGTAGGTTGGTTCCAGACCACCACAATAAAGTAAATATTGCAATAAAGTAAGTCACACAAATTTTTTGGTTTCCCAGTACATATAAAAGTTATATTTACACTATACTGTAGTCTATTAAGTGTGAAGTAGCATTATGTCTAAGAAAAGTAAATACCTTCATTAAAAATGCTTTACTGCGAAACAGTGCCAACACAGCACATGCTGTTGGAAAAATGGCACCGATGGACTCACTCAACACAGGGTTGCCACGACAATCGCAATGTCTGTGAAGCACAGAAGAGCAAGATATCCCTGTGATGTTTAGCCAGATTTCAGTCCAAGAGCTCTGCCTCCTACTGACCCTTGGAGGCATCCATTCTGAGTGGTCTTTGTGCTTAGTCTGGCCTGTAGTGGTAGGACCTGTCAGCAGGAAAAGACAGACAGCTATTTCAGTTCAGCACCTCCAGGGGCTTTGAAATTTTGGCGCATCTGACAATCTGACGTATCCTGTAGTCTCCAAAGAGTGTGTGTGTTGCTATAGTCATTGTCACCTGGCTGTCGAGCTCTCCTCAGAAACAGTGAGCAGCCACATAGGCTGAGGTGGGCAAAGCCCCAGATAAGTGCCGTCCGGGGTATAATCTCCTGCCCCATGAGGATTAACGGGAAAGGCTGACCTCCAGGATGGCAGAGGTGTCAGTTACACACAGGCAGGCGAAGGCTGGGTTCATGTCTGGACTTCCCTAAGAGAGCTGCATCCAGCTCTTTTACAAAGAGCAGCAATTTGAAACTGTGCAAGCTGTGTTCCCCTTGCTCCTGTTCTGTCGCTGTGACTTTAGGCAAGTAATGGCCATTTAAATTTAAATTAAATACAAGTTAAAATTCATTTCTCCATCACACTATCTTTGTTTCGGGTGCTCCACAGTGACAAGGGACTAGCAGCTACTGTGTCAGACAGCACAGATAAAAAAAAACACACCCATCATTGCAGAAATTCTTTTGGGCAGCACTGCCTTGGGCATTTTTTTCCCCAGCACCTCTGCATTCGGCAAATGTTTATTGAGCAGCTGCACCATAGGCCAGGTGTCTGGAGAGAAAGCAGCATAAAGGTCAGATGAGGCCCCTCTCAGGTAGACACATACTCATTTCTTCAGTGAATGCTGAACCCTGACTGCATCAGGCATGGTTCCCAGTGTGGGGTACAGAGTGGGCAAAACTGGCAAAGTTCTCACTTTCCTAGAACGTACTTCTAACAGCACAGACCCTGGAGTCAAATTCCGTGAGTTGAAAATTTATCTACCACACCAAAGACTAGCTCTATGACCTTAAGCAAAGCTACGTAAGCTCTCCATGCTTTGGTTTTCTCTTCTGTAAAGCAGAGGTGATGATAGTTCTGTATTATGAGGTAGTGAGGATTATGCGAGAACGTACATATAAAATGGCACTTTCAGTGATATCTGGCACATAGTAAGCCCTGTAAAAGCGTTTGCTATCGTTGTAATCAACATCAGCATCACATTCTACTGGAGGAAGATAGAGGTCGGGTAAAGCCACTCTGGTAAGGTGACATTACAACAGAGATCTCGAGCCTGTGCGCCAAGGAGATAACTTGGAATAATGTTCTCGGCAGTGCAAAGGCATCGTGGCAGGTGCATGCTTGGTGTGTCTGGAGACAGGGTGGAGGGCCAACAGGGTGCTAGTGAGTGGGAGAGTGGGGGCGGGGAGAAATAGGATGTGAGATTGGAGCTTCACATCGGGTGGGGGTTACAGAACATGTAGGACCCTCCCCTCTCTATAGGCCATGATAATAAAGCCTTTAGCTTTACTGCCTTAGTCTGGAAGCCAGTTTTAGGCAGAGGAGTGACATGGTCTGACTTGACTTTTTAGATCACTCTGTGTGCTGTGTAAAGCCTAGACTGTGAGTGAAAGCAGGGAGGTTTATTTTTGCAACTGTCCAAGTGACAGGTGATAGTGGCCTGGGGTTGGGTATTAGCAGCAGGGGTGTTGAGAAGGGATTGGCTAGATCCCCAGTGGTAAAGCCACAGTCTTTGCCCATGGATTGGGGGAGGGGCGTCAAAAAAGACTAAAGATCTCGACGTGGTGGAATGGAGTGGCCGTTTTCTCTGATTGGGAAAACTTCAGGAGGAACAGCTTGGGCAGGGGCATATCAGGAGGGCCTCTGTGGCTGGGAGGGCGTGGGAAAGGGGAGTAGTAGTACAAGGTAACATCAGTACAGTAGAGGGACCAGACCAGTTTTAAAGCTGGAAAGGTGACCCTTTGCCCAGGAAGAGCGTGGGCCAGGCTGCTGGAGGAGTAGCTGCTCCTTCCACTAGGTCTTCTCCCAGCATCAATCTCAGGAGAGCTCCGGGCTCTTGGGTTCCCACTGTCCTGGGGTCTAATTATGGCTTTGTCACATAGTGGCTGTGAAATTTGGGCAGATCTCATCAGTATCGTGTGACTTGATTCATTTTTTGAGATAGGGTGGCTTCCTTCTGAAGCCACTACTGTTTTCTTAATGTTCGTTATTTGCCATAAGGAATTTTCTCAGCGACTTGGCTAACAACACTACAGACCGTAGTTGGGTTTTCTAATTGTCTCCATCCTTGTGAAATTTAGACATAGGAACACGTTTTGTTATTTCAAGAGTGCAGAAGAAATATTCACTTTGTGTTAGTGGGAAGAACTTGTTCTCCTGAGGAGTAGTCATCAGAACCTTTCCTGGGTGGCTGAACTTACAGGCAGACCGTGGGGCTTGCCAGGGCTTTGGTTGAGTGTTGAATGCGATTTAAAGGAAGCAAAGCATGTTGGTGCTGTGCCTCTCCCTCCCCTGTAGGATCTCACCATCCCTGAGTCCAGTACCGTCAAGGGGATGATGGCCGGACCGATGGCGGCATTTAAATGGCAGCCGACTGCCAGTGAGGTAGGAACTTTCCTGTGGGTTCCTGATGTTACTATTGTGATCCTCTTTTCCGTTTTTTCCCCTTTTCTTGTATATGAGGCTTTTTTTTTAAGTTGCAAAACAGAACAAAAGTCCATGAGATAAAAAGTAAAAATCTTCACCCTTTGTGGTGAGCACTGTTAAGTTTGAGATAACTGATTCCAGACCTTTGGTTATACCCACTCAGCATTCATATATGTGATTATATACCTATGAGTCATTTTGGTTGTTGGGGATAGGGTTGCTTTTCCCAAAAATGGGATCATTCCACAAATTCTTTTCAATTAATATTTTGTAAACATCCTCTCATCCATAAATACAACTTTGATGTTTAGTTATGTTATTCTTGGCGTGGCTGCACCTGTTGCTGGACATAATTGTGAAAAGCCCTTGGAAGTCTGCAGTCACTGCTACTCTATTTCTCTGTTAATATTGATCGTTGGGAAGACAAGACCCTCAAGGGTCTGGTACTAGATACAAGTACGCCAAAAACCTAAAATTGGAAGCATCCTGCAAATTGATGTGGCTTAGTCTTGCTGAGTTATCTGAAGTGCCTGGTGAATACTGAATTAAAAAAATACTGGTATGCTTTTGAACATTTTTCTCTCAGTATTATTGGAATAATTTCCATACTAACCTGGCAGAAACATCTATTCTTTTCCACTTTGAAGGCAGTCCAAAAATGGGAAAAGAGTTTCTAGACAGTTGTAAAAAAAAAAAAAATCAGAACCCAGAGGTGTTTTAGCCAGAGGAGAGTCCAGTTATAGGCAGAAGAAAGTGACCTTTGGTGGAAGATAACTTGTTTTATTTAATTGTTTTCTGGTTTCAGCCTGTTAAAGATGCAGATCCTCATTTCCATCATTTCCTGCTGAGCCAAACAGAGAAGGTGAGTTGCTCTTCGAGGCTTCCAGTGCTTGATCAGGGCTGGCCTGAGGGGAGAGTGCCCCTCCACTGAGACCTCTCCCTGCTAGTGGGAAAAGTTTGGCTCTGCCTGTTCCCTGCCCAGAACAACTAGACAAAAAGTCACAGAATAGGCCCACTAGTGAATCAGGCATTTTTGAGACTAAAAATATACCCCCAAAAGACTTTTAAAACCCAGCTAGCTGTGTGGTTGTAACATTTGCAGTTATCTGTAGAGTCTAGGGCAGAAACGAAACATCATGAGCTATTGGCCCCTGTGAAGTGGCCCATATTACTTCGTGGATACATCCTGAGGGTCACTGGTTGAGACAGTCTTCAAGTCCTGCGGATGCAGAGGGAAGTTTTCCTGAAGTCTGCAGTGTCGTGGGTTAGGCTGAGCCCTGCTAGTATCCGGTGATAGTTTTTGGCTTTGAAGTTGAACAGATCTGGGTTCCAAGCTCTGTAACTCTGGGTATGTGACTTAACACCTCTGATTGTCAACATCATGGTCAACAAAAAAACCTTATATAGTTGCATGGAGAATTGAATGAGGTAATAAGCTTTGTAGTGTATCATCTGGAGTTCAGTAAAGGTATACAACAAATAAATATTCAATGTTAACTTCTGACTTTAGGCCTAACCTTTTAGGGGAATTATAATGAAGACTGGTTAAGTCTTCACTTTATTAAGTGTTTTTTTTCTCCCTCTTTATTAGCCAGCTGTCTGTTACCAGGCAATCACAAAGAAATTGAAAATATGTGAAGAGGTATGTAGGTTCCACGCCTCTCCATTTTTATTTTCATCTGGGGCCTTAAACCGTGGGCAGACTGACTTGGTGATTTGTGCTTCCTGTCCCTAGGAAACTGGTTCCACCTCCATCCAGGCAGCTGACAGCACAGCCGTGAATGGCAGCATCACACCCACAGACAAAAAGTAGGACCTTTGATGAAAAGGCCTCCTGTGGCTCTAGTTCTGCTGTGGGGGGGGGGGGAGGTGACCCCAAAGGGTCTCTTTAAAGATTGTGTCCAAGCCGTCACTGTGATTGAATGGAAAGATGGGACGTTGTAATTCTTACTAATAATGATTTGCCTGGGAGCAATTTGACTCGTAGGACAGAGAAATTGTCATATAAATTTACAGTTGTGTCTCCCTTGGGCATAGCCGAGGATTGGTCCTGTAACGCGAGAGAAAGCAGCACAGGGAGCACTTGCTGCAGTGGTTCTCGGACTGGCCTCTGCCTCAGAGTCTCCTGGACGGCGGCTTGTCACGCTCTGATTGCTGGGCCCCACCCCTGGGGCTTCTCAGTCACTGGGTCTGGGGCGGAGCCCAAGAATTTATATGTGTATGGTTTTTAGAGACAGGGTTTCTTTCTGTCACCCAGGCTGGAGTGTGGTGGGGAGTTCACAGCTCACTGTAACCTCAAACTCCTGGGCTCAAGCGCTTTGGGAGGCCGAGACAGGAGGATTGCCTGAGGCCAGGAATTCGAGACCAGCCTGGGCAACCTAGTAAGACCCCATCTCTATAAAAAATATCCAGGTGTGGTGGCACACACCCATAGGTCCAGCTGCTTGGGAGGCTGAGGCAAGAGGATCACTTGAGCCCGGGAGTTCAAGGCTTCAGTGAGCTATGATCCATCAGGCCACTGCACTCCAGTCTAGGTGACAAAGGGAGACCCTATCTCTAGGAAAAAAGAGCTAATTTTGTGTGTGTGTGTGTGTGTGTACATATATATGAAAATATAAAGTCATAGAAGAATGTTGCACTACCCAAATAACCATGAATGACAAAATACCTGCTTGTTTTTAAGCCTGGGCTTGAAACTTAGTGGGCAAGGGGGCCTAAGTTGGTGAGGGGGTGAGTTCCCTTTTCAACATTTGATTCAAATAACTTAGTACAGACTGGGACAGGGAGAATGTGAGCAGCAGGTATTCCAGCAGGTGTGAGGAGAGCCTCTGAGTAGAGGAGCCCATTTGCAAAGATGACTGCAGGGGTGATTCCAGAAGACCAAAAATGCAGGACAGCATGTTCCAGGTGGAGGCGCTATAGAGGATGGCCAGAGTTAGAAGGGGCCGGATTGAAAACATGCACGTGGTGTGGTCAGAAGTGAGGAAAGAAGCATCTTTAGCTATTGTCACACTCGAGGAGAGGTAAAGATGTGCAGGAACCAAAAAAAGATGTTTGGGCAAGATAAAAATACCTGTCAGAGAATGTGGGGATAGCAGTAGTCCCGACCAGCCCCCAGTTCTAGGGTCATGGGAGGGAGCAGGCTGCAGACGTGAAGGTGAGCAGAGCAGCTTGTCCACTGAGTGGACAGAGGGTTGGGACGCACCTGTAGGTAGAGGGGCTGTGGAGAGGCAGGAGGTTTGGGAGAAGGCAGACGTGGGAAGGAGAACTTGTGCACTGGGAAGGATCGGGTCCAACGCCGGGGTGAAGGACTTAGCTTTGGAGAGCAGGGACAAGGCCCGCCTCTGCTGACCACAGGAAGACTGGAAAGGTACGAACGTCTGCTTCGTCACTGTGATGGCATTGTAAGCTTAGACCCTCTATCAGAGCAGCAAGGGGACTTGCCCTGGCAGACTTGCTCTGAACCCATGTCACTTTTCTGTGGTAGTCAAGGGTTTAGAAATGCCCATTTACATCTAGGGACCCTTTTAGACCACAGCACGATAAGGAAAGGTGTGGATGCAGTACCCCTGGCTCTGCAGACAGTGTCAGCACACCGGGTGCAGTTTCTGGCAGTCCGAGGTCCTCTACCCCCAGCTGTGTGAGGGAGCCGGCCTTACGCTGCATGAAGGACACATCTTCACCCTGTCCCTCCCCCTTCATCCTGACCAGTCTCTGTCTGTTTCAGGATAGGATTTCTGGGCCTTGGCCTCATGGGAAGTGGCATCGTCTCCAACTTGCTAAAAATGGGTCACACGGTCACTGTCTGGAACCGCACAGCAGAGAAAGTAAGCATTCAGGGGTGGTGCTTGTCAGGTGGGGGAGTGTGGGGGTCACCCTAAGGGTAGGAATCCCCTCCGGTTGTTTCCGCTCAGCCGTGCGGTAGCACAGAAGCCAAGCTTTTAGTCCAGGCAGGTAGAGATGGAGAGGTATTATATAAGCTTAGGGTATTATTATAAAAACGAAATATTTAAAAATACTCAGGGATCCCTGCCATTACCCAAGGTAGCTCATGTTAGGTTTTTGTATCCTTTTTACCATGCATATGCAAATACATACCTCTATATGTAGTGAATGTCATTCGTATGGAGCACATAGATAGGTCTGCTTTATTCTTTTTCGTGGCTGCGTGGTACTCTGCCGTTGGGCCATGCTGATGCGATGCAGCATGCTGCGGTGATGGTGATGTTCCTATCCGTGATGTCCAATGCAGTGGCCACTAGCCACGTCTGGCAGGTGAACATCTGAAGCATGTCTAGCACAACTGAAAAATTGGATTTTTAATTTTATTTCATTTAAATTTAAATAGCCTCATGTGGCTAGTGACTGCCATATTGCACAGCATGAGTTTAGAAGTTCTCAACCTAAGGTGGTGAGCACCTTTTGTAACGGGGAGAGGCCATGATGCCCATCAAGTTCTCACCCAAGGAAAGGTAGAGAACCATAGTCTGAGGACCAGAAAAGTAAAGCACTGTACTTCTTACATGGAGGGAAGGAAGAGAGACTGGAAAAGTACCAGGCCATTAAGGACCATGGTATGACTGAGCACAGATGAGTGAAACGGGCGAGCGTGCCTGCGTGTGCACAGGAGGTGCCTCTGGGCCCTGGGAGCAGTCTAGCCCCAGTGCAAGCTGAGATGAGGTGTGGTTGCTGAAGGAAGAGTTGATAACCTAGAATTAAAAATGTTCCAAGCACAGTAAAAACTTCACTTTGCTGGAATAATGTCCTTTTCAAGAATAACAGAGCAATGGTTGGAGTGTTGGAGGGACGTGGGGAAAGCAGGCACCAAGGCCATACTCAGGTCTGGGCTGCAGGTGTTGGGACCTGGGCAGGCACTGCGAGGACCTGAGTCAGGAGTGAAACCTAAAGGGCCCCACTGACAGGATTCACGTTGTGGTTCAGACATTCTTCTAAGGCCCTGCTACTGCCAAAGGCTAGGGTAACCAGGAAATCTAGGCGTACATACTTAGTAAATATTATCGTCCAAAAGCCATTTAATCTTATGACAATCCTCGTGGAATTTTTTAAAAAGTCTTGATAAAAATTATTCTTGGCTGGTTGCAGTGGCTCACACCTGTAATCCCAGCACTTTGGGAGGCTGAAGTAGGAGGATCTCTTGAGGCCAGGAGTTCGAGACCAGGCTGAGCAACATAGTGAAACTCCATCTCTATAAAAAAATTTAAAAATTACCTGGCTGTGGTGGCACCCATCTGTAGTCCCAGCTACTCAAGGGACTGAGGCAAGAGGATCGCTGGAGCCCAGGAGTTTGAGGCTGTAGTGAGCTATGTATGATGTTGCCACTGTATTCTAGCCCAGACAACAGAGTGAGACCCTGTCTAAAAATATATATATATATATATTCTCTGGTTCTTTTGGAATAATAGGAAGCAGTTTTAATTGAGAAAAGCAAGAGCAATGAGGAGGACCCTCCCCAGAGGTGAAAACATGATATAAAGCTACTTTACTGCCAGGCTGCAGCTGAGACCCAGACACTGCAGGTAGACCGGGCAGCCTCGGGCATCCCCTGGCGAGTGCAGTGCCTTTCCTGTCAGTGAGGCAGAGTGAAGGGTTGGTCAGTAAATGATGTTCAGGACAACTGGTTAGAAATTTGGGGAAATGCATGCCAATCTCACTTCCTACCTACAAAAATATATTCCAGCTCAATTACTGATTTTATTTAAAGGAGAAAAACCAGAAGAAAATAAAATTAAACATTAACGTGGATATTTCTAAACCTAGAAGCAGTAAAAAAATCACTGAAGAAAAAGATCAGATTTTTCGATAATATTCCCCAAGAAAAAATAAACAAAATTGAAAGGTATACCAGCTAGAGGTACTTGTGGCAAATATGATAGGAAAAGGGTAATATATTGATTTTATCAAACACATAGTTTGATAACTAAGACAAAAGAATAGCTCATAGCTCACAAAAGAAAGCAAAGGTGTGAAAAGTTTCAGTAATCAAGAGTAATCAAAATGTATCAGACAAAAAGTAGCCATTTTTGACTGGTTAAATTGTCAAGTAGGAAAATTTTTAAATGTGTTTATGGATGTTTATTTGTTGTTTTTAAATTATATACTCAATGCTTGTAATCTGAGAGCTTGCTGATGGTCGTTATAAAGTGACACAGTTCCATTGAAAGGGATTTGTCTATCTTTTTTTTTTTTTTTTTTTTT